AAGCTACACAGATAGCTCATTGAAGTTTTTATGGTGCATGTAGGGGCTGATGATGTAGGAAAAGGACAGAGGAGCAAATTAATAAATACAAGGTAGGCTTAATTGTTACTTACTATTATGTCGGAGAAGCATCATCTGTAGATTGGTTATTTCCAGAGGCGACGATAGGTATTTAAAATATTCAGGGCTCGGGCCTACATGCGAGGGAATTTTCGGCGTTTCAGTACGATATCGATAAATGTTTTCTATGCTGATTTTTAAGACACAAACTGGGAGTTTGGGACACTGTCAAATGGAATCGGGGTACGTGCCCTGTTTGCCAGTGACTAGCAACGCCTCTGGTTATTTCTTTCTGCTAAGATAGTATTACTGGTTCATGTCTAGTTCATTTTAAAATTGTTGTCCTTGTGACTTAGTCTAAGTATTCTGAAGTTGTTCTCTGAGACAATGCTTCATTCTTAATTATCCTGCAAAATAAATGAAAACTTTGGATTGCTTCATTATAGAGCGATCTTGTTTTCTATTAAGTTATAAGAACCTAAAGACTACAGTTATATTTATTGCAGGGTCTTGTTGTTGTTTTTTTTTTCAGAATATGCCAGGATTTTCATGGTTCTAAGCTCTCAGAGTACTGTATTCATCTGGCTTATAATGTTCTAAAAATTCAATAATCATCTGAGAACTATAGAACCGATTTTCCCTCTTACCTAGTGTATATGAAGGATCTTTTCTTTGAAATCTGGTGTCCTTTCGATCTGTATCGTTCAACAACTTCACTATACGAATATGTTTCTTCTGAAAAGACTGAATCAAATTTCTCTAATCTATTCGTGATGGCACTACACTGGGGAATGATCGAAATATCGCCATGAAAGCAATATATATATATATATATATATACATGTATTATATATAAGCGCTAAACATATCGCCAGCGGCGATACACATAGTATTTGTATACACAAATCTTTCTTTTCTCTTAGCTTCTATCTAATTGCATTATTTTTTTCCTATTTATTAGTAAGTAAACCCCTTGAATATTGATTGATTGATATTAAAGGTTTAGTTTCAGTTGTACGAAATATCTTATCTGTTCGTAATAAATCGTCGGGCTCACTAAGAAGGTATCTTGATGTTATATAAGCAGATCATAAAAAAACGTTCAAAGGTTCTTGTGAGTTCTTTAAAACTCATCTAGGTGAAAGGGACATGAATTATGTTTACAAACTTATTTTAAGTTCTCTGACAGAAACAAAACAATGCTTCTTTCTTATTTTCTGAGGGTTGCAGGTTCGAATCCCCGTCCTACCAAACATGCTCGTCCTTTCAGCCGTGGGGGCGTTATAATGTGACGGTCAATCCCACTATTCGTTGGTAAAAGAGTAGCCCCAAGAGTTGGCGGTGGGTGGTGATGACAAGCTGCCTTCCCTCTAGTCTTACACTGCTAAATTAGGGACGGCTAGCGCAGATAGCCCTCGTGTAGCTTTGCACGAAATTAAAAAACAAAACTTTTTTTATTTTCATTATAGGCATCATGTACATATATTCCTGATCTTGACGTTATCTCTATTTAGTTTGTTTCTGTTACAATAACATTATTATTTTCATGATTACTACAGTCTTTCTTATTAATGACATTTTCAAGCAACATTTTAAATAGTCATGTTTTATGAAATACAAAACCTAACCATTATCTTTGTGTTTTGGATAAAACTGTCTATTGAGTAACTACAGTAACACATTTTACAACTGTCATTTCTGGACCTCTTTGAGGACCATCTTGGCATACAGTCATTTTTTTTTCTCATAAATTCTACCCAATAAATTCTATACCAAGTTGCACAAAAAAAAAAACATTCTGATGGTAATGTTGTACTTCACTTTTTACAACTCACAATCCACATCAGTCTACCCTCTTGCTTCATACGCAAAGGCAGTTTTCTATCTTTTTAATTCAAGTCTGGTCATAAAATACGAATGTAGCTTCATTGTTGATAAACATATTGCATGCTATTCATTCTCCAGTTTCATTAACTATTGTGAAGGTATATCTGAACAAGGAACTTGTGATAAAAATTTGGCAGTTTACACCCTAGTTCAGCGTTTTCCTTCACATTTATATCTCTGGATTAACCTTTAGTGGCATCATCTCGGTAATTCTTATTCCTTCTCACATTATAATAGGTTTCTAAGACAATCTTCTGAACTCGTCTTTTAGGACTTTGTGGGTACTGAAGCAGTCATAAGCTAAATTTCCTGGATATAATCTAATAGATATCCATCAGTTCTTGTAAATAGCCGAAGCCATCCTTTAAGTTTGATTTTTTTTTTTACTGAGTTTCACACTATAGAGCTCTACATATCCTTAAAGGTGAGTTGTATTCAACACCATTCTATACGTTATTAAGGTTGATCATAGCACCTATCGCCTTATTTTTTGTTAGTTTCTTATTTAAACTTTTGTTCTCACTGTGATAATTCCTCTATAGATTTTGGTCGCTTTGGGGGGGGGGGGGCTTTTATTTCATTTTATTCTAACTCCTTTCTATGTTTCTAGTTTTGCACTTTTAATAATATATTTCGTGTTTTATTTTTTGATCCGATTGATATAACGCTTTCTAAATCTATTGTCACATTGTTGATTTTTGTTGTCCATTATTTTACTCTTTTTCGATTTTTTTTTATTTCTATGGTTTGGTTTGAATTTCCCACAAAGCTACACGAGGGCTATTTGCGCTAACCGTTCCTAATTTAGAAAGACTAGAGATAAGACAGCCAGTCATCAACACCCACCATTAACTCTTGAGCTAGTCTTTTACCATCAAATAGTAGGATTGACCCTCATATTATAAACGACCCCACTACTGAAAGGGACGAACATGTTTAGTGGGTCCGGGATTCCAATCCGCAACCCGCAGACTGCGAGTCGAGTACCCTAACCACTTGGCCATGTCAGTACTTTTTTCTGTCTTTTTACCTTATGTTTTCCATTTTATTTTAGATTCTCATATCTACTGCCTTTTCTGACCGTCAGTTATCACACCAAATTAGAAAGTACTGTATTACCACTGGATTATTTTTGCACAATCAAATAGCTCGCAAAAGTTTGAGTAATACAGATTTGACAGTTTATTATTGGAAAAAAATAAGTAAGTTGTAAGATCTCACTTACAGTAGTTTCTATATTTGGGCCGAGCTCAGCCCAATGGTTAGCGTGCCGGACTATGGAGTTAAGGTTCCGTTGTTCGTGTCCCATTACCACCAATCTGTTCCGCACTTTGGAGCCATAAGTGCGTTATAATAGTGACGGCCAAATCATACTATTCCGTCTGACAAGAATGGCTCAAATGACGGCGGTGGGTGGTGCTGATAAGCAGCCTTCCCTACAGTTTATTTTTTCAAAATTGGGGACGGCTAACACAGATAGCTCCAGTATATAGCTTTGCGCAAAATCCAACAAGCATACAAAATTTCCATGATAAAACATGACAACTTGCTAAATTATTCTTTTCCAGTAATTAAAGCTTATCAGCCATCTCAAAAATAACGATAATTCTAACTTGCAACAGTAACATAACTTACATATTTTTAACTTTCAGTTTTAATGTGGATGCCAACTCTTGATTCACTAAGACTCTTACAACTTTCGAGTTATCTCATAACACTAACAAGCACACTAATACAATTTAAACTAATTATTTTTGCATTGTCTGTAACATTTTTATCATTTTCAAGTTCTTATTGCAAATCAAATCGAAAATACTTCGAAAATGTCACACATCGGCAAAACTTGTAATCCATATTTGTAGTACAAAGTATGTGTGTGTGTGTTTTCTTATAGCAAAAACCACATCGGGCTATCTGCTGTGGCCACCGAGGGGAATCGAACCCCTGATTTTAGCTCTGTAAATCCGAAGACTTACCGCTGTCCCATCGGGGGACAGTACAAAGTCAAACAGCATTTCAAAACTTCTCACGAGAAACAATATTCTGGATAATTCTGAACAGATATGAAGCAGACATAATGATTAAATGGAAATCTGGAATTGTGGGATGATATCAGTGTCTAATCCACTAGGTCATTTCTCTTAGAAAACTTTTAAAAAATTTACTGTTCAGTTCAACATTTTATTAAGTATATACGATATATCACAGAAGAAAAGTCATTAGTTTTGACAACAACCAGAATTGCACGATCTTGGACGACTTTAGTGACAAGGTGAAAGGAGTCCATCGCTCCGAGACACATCTAATTGTATATAGTTACCAGCAAATTCAATCTTGCCAGGTGAAGACCAGTTTCCGCGTATCATCGTTTGAAATTTAAAGAGATATTTCATTTTATTTTAGATCACGTTTAATCTACTGGTCTATTTTTTATTTCTAACATTTACTCATACATATTTCTGAAAAGAAATCAATTCCAAACTCTTCAACGTGTAAAATGCAAAACAATTTTCACGAATGCATCATGTAAAAGAATGCCGCTGGTTTGTGAATCAGTTCAATGTTTATTTAAAAGACTGCGCGTTCTCGGTATTTCTTCTTAAAGATCAACGGTTGTAAGCATATCCTCCGCCTACGCTTTAATATTTGGTAACTACATATAGTTGAAGCTACAATCAATTTTAACCATATATATTCCTGTTTTGTTTTTCTAGTTACAACATTTTCAGGTTTGCAGTTCAATTTTAATATTTAACATCACATGTGATTGGCTGTGACTGTAGCCTCGTGACATTTCCAACAAGTAAAAAGCCTGGGAAGCTACTAACGCTGAGAGGTGTTCTGGTGAATATTTCGCGCGTGCAACGCGTGTTCTGATAATGACGGTCTTATCTGAGTGTGGTTGCTTAGTTACCATACTATATTATTGTTAGTATATATATCAAATTACAGCACGGATGAAAAGTGCTTTTCTACCTGTTGTTGACTGTTAATACAGTTATGTTACTAGTGTAATTATTACGACAAACCATTTCAGGTATGTTAAGTTTATATAATTTTAACTAGTTGTGACATTCATCTTTATCAATCTTGGAAAAAAATATGTTTAAATAAATAAATACGCCATTCCAAGCAATAGGCAAACCTTGAAGTTATTTAATTATAAGTCCAAATGATTACTTTTCTTAAACAAAATAATCGTACAATGAAAACACCAAGTGATTTATTTACAAATAGAAATATTTAGGAAAATAAATTCTTAATTTAAAACAAATCGGGAAAAATGAATTGTATTTTCGAGAACATCTTTCGTTTAATTAGTTTGTTTATTTTTTAATTTCGCGCAAAGCTACACGAGGGCTATCTGCGCTAGCTGTCCTTAATTTAGCAGTGTAAGACCAGAGTTGTAGAGTGTAGACTAGCTAGTCATCACCAACCACCGCCATCTCTTGGGATACTCTTTTTCCAACGAATAGTGGGATTGATCGTCACATTATAACGCCCCCACGGCTGAAAGGGCGAGCATGTTTGGTGTGACAAGGATTCGAACCCGCGACCCTCAGATTGCGAGTCGAGTGCCTTAACCACCTGGCCATGCCGGGCCTGGTTTGTTTGTAGTTAAACTCAAAGTTACAAGAAGGTCTATCTGTACCCTACCCACCAGGAGTATCGAAACCTGGTTTCAAGTAGTACAATTCCACAGACATACCGCTGTGCCACTGGATAGTTAGTTTAGTTATAGAAACTCATTTTATGGCTAACTTGAAGGGAGGAAGCTTTATATTTAAAGGCATTCTGCCAATGAAAAAGAAATAATTAATTTCAGTTAACTAAGACAATAATGTTAAAAAAAGTATGATTTATAAAATATATGTATCCCTTCAAAATATTCCGATAAGGGGTTTAAATCTAATCTCAAGAGTTCATTTTTAAATATCATCTTGGTTTATATTTAAAACATTAAAAAAACATAACCTCCTAGAATTTTCTCTTCAAACAAGGTCGGGCGTGACCTTTTGGTAAGAGTGCTGAATTGCAAATCGAAAAGTCCAGGGCTCGAGCTACTTAACACACAATGCACATTCAGCTAAGTATTTAAAATAAAACACATATGTTAGAAAGGTATTTAGTATTGTCAACCTGATCGGTACGTTATACGATACATGAACTAAATGGCCGTGTCACAGACACCTCAAATTCAGGCATAACTAGAACTGCTAGCCAAAGAGAGGGCAACTACTCAGCACCACCAGCCGTCTATTATGCGACTATTATTTACTGAAAAGTAGGATTAAATGTCACAGTTACAACGACCCCCCATCGTGCATTTAACTTAATATTTTGGCAGATTTATTCTGAACAGTACCGCAAGAATAGAGGGTTCCCAATGTTTAATTTTGATGAACTTGTTTGTTTGTTTGTAGTTGAGCACAAAGCTACACAATGGGCTATATGTGCTCTGCCCACCATTGGTATCGAAACCCTGTTTCTAGCGTTGTAAGTCCGTAGACATACCGCTGTGCCACAAAGCTACAAAATGGGCTAACTACGCTCTGCCTACCATGAGTATCTAAATCCGAATCAGAAGCTTCGACAACCTTCACAATTCTTTTTGTTCTCTTTCCTATATATATATATATATTAAATACATTCACAAGTGTTTTAAACTATTCAATACGAATCTAATAATTCTTCAGCTTTGAAAATTAATAAAATTGTGAAAATACATGCATTACTAAATTAATGTTTGTTCCAGTTTCGTAAGCAGTTAGTGTTAACGTGGAAGACATGTTATCTATGCTAAGAACTGAAGACACACCCACCTGCGTACAGAAGCTGTGTTCAACACCAGGAAGTAACGTTTTGTTACTATGATAAAGCACTTCCTTTCAAGAAGACAAACTTGACAGTTTCAGAAGAAAAATGACATAACTTACGATATAACCAGTACAGATCTAAAAGCTTGAGCAATTTTGAAATGTAAATTATAAGCTAAGACAAAATTGTAGTTCACATATCGTTTCATAAACATGCGAAATAGTTAATAATTTTAAATATTTTGATATTGTTTTGTTTGGTGAATTTCGCGCAAAGCTATACGAGAGCTATCTGCGTTAGTCGTCTCTAGCTTTATTATATTATCTCTTATTTCTTATATGTTTTTTTTCTCTATATGTAATAATACTACCACTTTCATTTAAACTACATTTTCGAATTTCAAAAGAAAAAAAAGCCCCGGGTTTCAAATGGAGATGCAGCTCTTACAAAAACAAACAAAACAGTTTTTACTGTTTATACAAATAACATTTAAACTATATTTGTCACAATAAAACACTAAGTTAAAACTATTACCATAACAAGCCAAGTATCAACTCGGCATGAACAACCAGTATGAGTATCAACAATAACTGTTATAAGAGGAAGCCGAATATTCTATTTCGAATGCACATGCAAATCTCACTACTTGTGTCAGTTGAAACTCTAGATATCCCAAATTTCAGTTAAATAGCTATTTATAAATAAGGATATCGACACCAAAATGTTCACATTTCTAGATAAGCATTAGTTTGTTTGTTTGTAATTAAGCACAAAGCTACACAATTGGCTATATGTGCTCTGCCCACCCCTGGTATCGAAACCCGGATTCTAGCGTTGTAAGTCCGCAGACATACCGCTGTGCTACTGGGGGGGGGGCATACGCATTAGTATTTGGAAAATTTGCAAATACTGGTATAAAAGTCATTTTTTACAATATAGACATGACTTTTATAGTTTGAGATTTCTATGCATGAAGCTCATTAAGTAGATGATTTCATAGTTAGTAGATAATATAATATAATAAAACTAGTTAATAATATAATACTAAATAGAAAGAGAATGAAAAGGTTAACTTTGCTGAAGTCGTTGAGCAAAATGTGCGATATGCCCAAATGCGACATTATGAAAATACCGGTATAGCTAAGTTTGTTATGTGAGCCAAATAGAAGTTTCTTAGGTAATGGAGTCAGCGTTCAACAAGATTAGAAGTACACACCAAGGAAACAAAGAAGACACGAGGGGATAGGAAAGTAAACAATAAAATAACAACTAACTCCTGATAATGCCCTAGTGATGAAGGAAAACAATATTTTCCAAATTAGGAAACTATGGTACCTTTCCTTCGAAAATGTACTTTTTGAGTTTTGCGTAAAACTACACGTGGGCTATCTGCGCTAGCTATTCCTAATTTTGAAGTGATAGACTAGATGGAAGGTAACTAGTAAAACACCACCCACTACCAGCTGTTGGTATGTTCTTGTCAGACCGATTAGTGAGATCTGATCAATACTCTTATAAAACACTCACTGCTCCAAAGGGAGGAGCGAGATTCTTTATTTTATATTTTTTGCGATAACGGGGTACGAACCACGGAACTTCAGATCCACAGTTAGACACGCTAACGACTCGGGTCCGTAGAATATAAAGAATTGCCAATTTGTAGAGGGCACTTCTTAGTTGAATATAAATCAAAACATATCTGGATAGTTACGGTATTTTTCAACTATAAGCCGGGTTTTAGAATAGATAACTGTATAAAAAGTGATACCACTAAACGCCTGTGACACATGACTTGACATAGGTCACATGATCCAGACAGTCAGTCATCTCTCTAAACTAAAAATAAGCATACGTGCGATTAAGAATGACCAGGGCGTTTGTTTGTTTTGAATTTCGCGCAAAGCTACACGAGAGCTATCTGCGCTAGCCGTCCCTAATTTAGCAGTGTAAGACTAGAGGGAAGGCAGCTAGTCATTACCACCAACCGTCAACTCTTGGGCTACTCTTTTAACAACGAATAGTGGGATTGACCGTCACATTATAACGCCCCCACGGCTGAAAGGGCGAGCATGTTTGGTGTGACGGGGATTCGAACCCGCGACCCGCAGATTGCAAGTCGAGCAAAACAAACAAGAATGACCAGTATTGATATACAGTGCATAAATAAACTGTAGAAAACTTCACGAGCAATTTAACCATTCCCAGCTTTTTCATAATATATATAATTTTTAAATGCGTCTTACCAATCTATGAGATTAGAATTTGTTTGGGTTAGGTTGAAACCCGCAATTCTCTTACCGGCTATATGCTTTAATGAACTAAGCTGCCAAGTCTCGAACTTTAACACTTCCGTTTATCACTTTATTTTAATACCAATTGGCTCGTACAGGTCAGGACCTTTTTTTTTTTCTTTTAGCTCGAGATACCGATTTTAAGTGGTTCAAACGTAGAAATTCTTTAAGGGCAAAATGCTCGATACGCAGTCATAGGTTTGATACCTGTCTGATATCAGTTTTACACTTCTATAAAAAAGCAAAAACTTTTTATTAGTTTTAATTGTATCAACTTGTTACTATACATAATTTTCTGTTAAGTATTAGATGTGTAATTGTTGATTTCCTAGTTTACTCTATATAGTTTCTTGAATTGATTTCTAATATTCGTATTTAGCTAACATTTTCCTCAACGTAGTAAACTATCATTCACATAGAAGTTCTGGAAGACTATTTTTAAATATATCAAGAAAATAGTTACTTGCAGCTCAAGTAACAAGTTGTTGAATCCCCATCTAAAGATTTTTACGACAGTCTCGATTTCTGATATCTTAGGTGATCGATGTTTGACCCAATTCTTACTACTCACCTTTAGTTATTAACGATAATCTAAATAATCATTAACGCACGTTATAGAGGATCCTTATATATGCCCTCCTGTGGGTCAACGATAAGTTCACAGACTTTCAACGCTAAAATTCGGGGTCAATAGAAAGCAAATATTTTATTGAGTAGCTTTATACAAATACATCAACGCTCATTAAGTAATTAACTTCAGGTTACTTTAAATCGATATTTTTATGAGTATATTCAGACAACTTCAATAGTTATGTTGCAGAGGGTCATTTAGTCATGCAGTTTTAGATTTGTTTAGCATTCAATTTTCTTACATGCTTTCCGCTGATTTTAACGATGGCTAACTATTGTAGTACTATTCGTGATTTTA